CTCAGTGGAATAAGCGCTTCCCTGGCAAGCTCAAGGGCCTGAGTTCAATCCCTGGTTCTGCCAAAAAAAAAATAAATAAAAATAAAAATAGACTCAGACCCTTGCACTTGCCAGGGAAGCACTTATTTTACTGAGCCATCTCCCTGGTCCCTAAATTTTACATTTTTTTTCTTCATGATTTTTTCTTTAATTTATTACTAATTTTTAAATCTGGCTTATAAATTCTAAATGAATATGCACTTGCTTATCCCACTATACATAAAATTTTGGTCCTAAGAATTATTTTCAGGGGCTGGGGAGATGGCTCAGTGGAATAAGCGCTTCCCTAGCAAGCGCAAGGGCCTGAGTTCAATCCCCAGTTCCGCAGGAAAAAAAAAAATTATTTTCACTTCAAAATATAAAAGCCCTGGGGCTGAGGGTGTAGTTCAGTGGTAAAAGTGCTTGCCTAGCATGCATAAGGGCCTGAGACCCATCTCTAACACCGCCAAACAAACAAAATAAGCTCAAGGCAAGTAAATTTAGGGGATTATGATAGGAAAATCTTTTGAGTATTGGCTATAAAAATTCTTTATATAAAGCTGGTGTCAACTTGGGAAGTTGAAGGCTTCTTGGCAGTTCCCAGCCTTAGGGCAACCCTGGTTCCTCGCTCCCTGGGGCAGCGAGGGCCCACCCTAGAGTGAGGAACGCACGAAAAGAATATAAAAGCAAGTTGAGCAAAGGTTCAGTGGGCCACTTCTTGGAAGGAGCTCCAGTCTTCACAGCCACGCTACTTCCTCTGAGGAGCTTGACCTCCACAGCCGCCACCGCTTCCTGGGAGGAGCTCCAGTCCTCACAGTCAGCATTAAAAAAGAGGAGCTTGATAAATCCCACAGCTGCTGCTCTTTCCTCAGCTCTTCACTGTTCTCTACCACCATCAACTGCTGCCTTCCGCCTTGTGCTACTCTGCCTTAGAGCCAAGTAAATATAGAATAAAGTGTAGAACCACTAACTGTGAGCTAAATAAACCTTTCCTTCTTTAATTTTGGGTGTCAGATATTTTGTCCCAGCAACAAATAAAAAATAGTAGCTGCAAAGATCAGAGCTCCTCTGAAGAAGTGGCACCCTGAGTCTTTGCTTAATTCCCTTTTATATCCTTTTTGTGCTGAGTCATTCTACAGCAGACCCTCCCACCCTAGAGAGGGGCTCTAGGGGAGGGCTTCTCTAGGGTGTGGAACCGCCAAGCCTTCACTTTCCCAAGTTGACACATGTGTCAGCCACTACACTATTCCATGAGATCACACAGAAGCAGAAAGTATAGGATGCCACAGAATTTCCTATGCTGTCTCCTAGGTGGTGACCTTCTACCACTAACCAGATTCAACTAGTAATTCCTCCCTCAACCTTACCCCCTAAAATGAGTACACTTAAAATCTACCATCTATGGTTTTTGTGTCAAAGCCTGTGATTCCTTGTATGTCTGTTCTCTAATAGAGCATGATAAAGAACAGAGGCCCAGAGGAAGGTGATAATAATGAGAACTAATATTTATTGAATACTCACTATGTACAAGATGCTACATTTGACCTTGCAGTACCTAATTAACCTCAGTGAAGTGTTAGTCCCATTTTAAGGAATGAATATGGCTTAAAACGTATAAATGTCACATAGCTAGTAACTACAGAGCCAAGACTTAAACTCAGTTCTGATTCTAAAGTGTATGCTTTTTAACTAAAAAGGGGTTCTCCAAATGATGTAGCACATATACCTCGGAGAACTTCGTCTTTTTGCCTAGAGATACTGAATTGTCATCTCTCCTGTAGCTTTTTTTCTTTGGCTTGGAGGGGAACAAGCCAAGAAATGTCAATTAATTGAATGTTATGATTTACATAATTGTCACAGTATTATTTAGGCATCTCTAATTTCTACATATTTCTAATAAATAGAAATCATATTAGGGGGCTGGTGAGATGGCTCAGTGGTCTAAAGCACCTACTTAGAACAAGCTAAGCTCAAGCAAAGCACAGAGACCTCGGTTCAATCCCCCAGCACCACATGCTGGCCTGCTCGCCCCCTGGTGGGCTGAGCTGGCCACACAATAAATAAATAAATAAATAAATAAATAAATATTTAAAAATTAAGAAAAATACTATTAAAAAAAAAGAAATCATATTAAATACTCAGAATATGTCAAATACATTTTTGTTTATAGAAGTTATGCGAGGGCCGGCCAGATAGCTCGGCAGATTTAAGTGCCTGCTTAGGCAGATACAGGGACCAGGGTTCGATTCCTGGCTTACTGTGCCAGTCACACCCTCCCAGGAGCCATGAGATGGTAATTGAGACTGGGGATGGTAGCCCACCTGTAATCCCAGCACTTGGGAGGCTGAAAACAGGAGGCTCACTACGAGTCCAATCTGTGTAGTGAGACCCTGTAGACCCTGTACTAAATACATTTTTTTAAAAAGTTGTATGAATAACTTCCTCTGAGTGTCTAGGATGGACTTGTTTGTCCTTTAGATATTATAGATATTTGGTAGATAATTCTAACTCATAAAAGCCAAATAATCCCACTTTCATA